TGAAGCTTTTCTGACAAGCTTAGACATCGATAGACAATGGCTGAGGACTTACTGCAGCTGGCACCATTTTGAGTTCCCTTGCTCCTGACTCTTTCAAAGAAAACTGTCACTCTAAAGACAAGATAGGAAGAATTCCTTACTTTCTCACCAGTGTATGTTTTTCCTCCAATATCATATGGCTTTAGATCCCTGCAATTCATGTGGTTTGATCATAACAAGGCTTTCCAAAGTCTATCCTTCTCCTGGCAAAGTCGATTCAGATTCTATAGGCATCACTGAACTGTTACAGCGATTCGGCTCAGTTCTGTGCATAAAGATGCATCTTCAGCCCTGAACTATCTCCTCTCGCTTCAGGGAAAAGTTTTACGCTGATTTTTTTCCTGCATTGGTGCCATACATGTTTTCTAGGGATTTTCAGCACAACCTTAGCTCTATTAAAGTGGAGAAGGAGCTTTTAACCAGCATTTGCTTGCTGATGATTTCATCCTTAATCCAGTTTTCTATGCTGCTCAGCACCTATGTTGACATGCACCGCGATGCACCACCCTTGCCTCTCCCTTTTCAACCAACTGTAGTCCCATTCCCCGGCTTTACTGCTATTCCAGGGCCCTCTCCTTATCTTACCTTTCCATCACAGCACTGCGATCGCAGAACATCTGCTAGAGGATTAGAGACCAGCTCCTTCTTGAGGAGCGATTAGCAGAAGCCTCCTAAAACACCTCATTGTACCTCTTGCACTAAACGCCCCATTGTACCTCTTGGACTGCTCTTGTACTATCAGAGCAGTCATCCTTTCAAGTCTGCTCTTATTTAGCTGACATATCCTCTCAGCACATATGATTTTTGGAGCTGGAGGAAGGATTTCGAGAGCAGGCACTCAGAGGCCTTGATACACTACAGAACTTGCTCGCAAGACAGTCCCAGCACAATCTTGCCTGGCCAAGTAACTTGACTTCCAAGTAGGGCTTGGCAGACAAAGGTTTTCTGGTCCCATGAATAGGAATGAAAGCGGTGACAATTGTCTTGCCCAAACTGAGATAAAAAGTATGCAAGACTTCTCATGCGCTAGGAATGTTTTGTTCCAGCTCGACTGACACTTTTACTGTGGTCATTTAACAAAAATTGAATTGCATAGCCCCTTTTAAGGTTAGGTTTCGTATGAGTTATTTTCAATTTTGATACAAAATGTGGAAACTGGAAAGGAATAATCTAATTCCTTTTTTGGCAAAAAAGTAAGATGCAATATGTGACAATTTACTCCCTACATTTTTCTCAGCCAGGAAATTCATAAACCTGACCATTTCCCAGACAGGTTTTATTCTGACAAATCTATATTTTTCTGAGAAAAACAAGAACATATTTCATGGAAAAAACCCCACTCAGCCCTGTCTTCTGTGTAGGTCAGTAGGGACTCTGCATAGACCAGACCCTGACAGTGCATCTTTTTCTTTTCTCCCATGCTTCTGAAAAAGAACACTTGCTGGCTTTTGAGCATTTAATTTGCTGCCACTGCTCTTTTCATAGTCTGAAATTGGAATCGGGCTTGTCACAAATGTTTTCTCATGAAGATGAGGATGTCATCACAGATGTAGTTCAGGGACAGGGCGGAACAAATGACAATAAGAAAGAAAATTTGGAAACATTGTCAGGTAAATATTCTGAAAGAGACACAAACAGAAAGATGGAGCAAACTGCTGCTCCTAGGGAAGCAGAAACACTTCTAGATGACATCCTCTTTTTCCAGTCTTCCATGTGGCTTCACAGAGGACCTTTTAATAGCATATTCACACCTGTTAATTTCATGCAAAGTTTTGGTAGCCTCCTACGCAGAAGGTAATTTGAGTTCCTAGAAGCAGAAGTACTGCTTATGAACAGCTCTCCCTCCTGCCTGTCCTAGGTGGGGGCAGGCAGGCAGGAGAGGGACGGCTGCCACGTCACAGAAGTCTGCATTGTCCTGGGGTTAGCCTGGCAATTTGTAGGTTGCTTTATTATTCCTGTACAGACGCTATCTCGTCTTGCAGCTCAAGTTCCTATTGATCACTGGAAGCTGTTCAGCGATCTGTGAGCACACACTGACTTGAGATACTGAAAGAATAAATTCCAGCACTTTGGTGAGATCCACAGTCGTAGTAATTAAAACTTACATGGCTAAGGCATATAGGAGATGGGGGATACAGCAATGGCCCATCTAAAGTTGGGCAACAGCGATCAGTACTGGCTTGAAGGAGCTACAGATGGCTTCTTTCTGCCTTTCATAAGTCATATTACCGTTTCTCAGTCCACCATGGAGAGGACAGTTATTCTCTCCAGAAAAAAACACAAATGACAACACACTGCAATGAACTCCAAGCAAGCAAGGCTGAATGCTCAGGCCAGGACAATGACTGAGTGGCAATGACTTGGAACAAACTACCTTTTTGCTTCAATAGGTGATCTCTGTAGGTCAAGGATGAAACACATTAACATGTAAAAAGGGATGTCTGTAGGTGTGCAGCAGGTGTGCAGCAGGCACGGCCATCACCCTCTCGCTCCCTTCTGTGTAGATGAAGAGCAAATACAGTCTCCAGGCTTGTCCATTTGCAACCCCCCCTCCCCCCATTAAGGAGTTAAATACACTCTAAGTCACCTGAAGTATATCCCCACCTTTGCGTAATACTAATACCACTCAAACCTTGATAATTTTGAATCAGCTTTCTGTTTGGCTTTTTTTCCTAGAAGAAAAAAAAATGACAAAAAGCTTCAGATGCACTTAATACTGTTATACTGCAAACTTCAGTCTGTTCGGACAAACTTCGGAGTCCTCTGCAAAGAGAGTAATTGAGAGCCCTTTGAAAGGGATCGCCACGTTGCTGGCAGCTCTGATCCATCCGAGCAGCAGTCAGAGCAGAGGCTGCAGGTGCCATTTAAACTTCCCATTTGGGAAAGATTAGCAGGTATGTTCCACTTGCAAATTTAAACAAGGAGCGCTAATGCTGTAAACAGTAGCATGGGACAGAGAGGGCAGCAGCAGCAAATGGTGGCTCTTAGGACAAAGTGTGTTTCTTGCCCTCATATGGGTCTATCTGCCTGCCGATGGGTGGCACATGATTCGGGGGAATCTAGGCCCGGAGTCACTCAAAAGAAAACAGAGCTGTGCTGGGGAGATGAGGATAGACATTGGTTCCAAGACTTAGATGTATACAAAGAGACAATGTAGATCTTTGCTGGGATTCATAGGTTAAAAAAAAAAAAAGAAACTTGGCTGAGCATAATGACCTCTTCTTCCTGTGTGTCCCTCCTAGCGTTGCTTGTTCTTGAAAGCATCCCCTCTCTCCCTGCAAATTAGTAGCAAATTCAGGAAAGAGCTGGAGATTTGCTTTGCACTGCCATGACAAGCCATCTACAAACAGAGTGCGTACAAAAGCACTCTGTTGTGCTTAAGCCGCAATCTGTAGCAGTGTAAACTAACCATCAACACAGGGCAAAGCTGTAAACACAGAAACTGTAACCAGCCTGAAACATGGTAAGAGTAAAAAAGTAATTACCAGTCTCTCTTCCCCCTCACCACAAGTTCGAATTTGCTGTAGCACATCCTCTGTACATAGTGAGGTCCAATAGAAAATTAATACCCTGCACCATGATATTTCTCCCTTCCCAAGGAACAGGAAATTCTGGTGGCAATTGTATGGCATCTGCTGGACTTATCCACAGTGAGTAATGTAATGTATAATTAAGTTAAGAGGTGACAATTTAATCAGAGGGGACTTCATTCAACCTTAGTTATGCTTACAGTTTGCCTTTTTAAAGTCTGCTTCTTATGAGAATAGTTATTCTATCCTATTAATTTCCATGATGGAGAAGGTAAAATAAATCCCATTCTTCTTGATACCTCTGTGGCACTGCCCCAAAGAGACTAGATGAGCCCTGGCAAAAAATAATTCTTGCTCCTTTGGGTAGGAAGGAGTTACCCAGTGTAAGAGCTCTTCCCTTCATACAGTTCTTTAACTCACCACTTTACGTTTCCAGTTTACTAACTCATTATATTGTGACTTGTTGACCTAAGCACTGATTTCAACTCTTCCCTTAAGTTTCTTTGCTGTTTATTCTGTCATGCATTTGTTTTGGGATGCAAGACGTGCATGTGTCCATGCAAGCTAGGAAAAGACTCGATTTCAATTTTCCTACATCTCATCCTATGATGCCATTTAGATGCCTCTCCCTCACCCAAATTCTTGGTACACTTAATCTTGCAGAGAGCATATATATCTGATGACGTCAGACAGACATGACATAGCATATACCTACTCTTATACCCCATCCCCCACATGCCCACCTTGCCAATACTGCATGTCCATCACCAGTGGCATCACCTTACCAAGAACACCAGCCTCTCTGACAACAGTGAATCGGTGTCCGCTGCCCCTCCACACCCCTCATTTCCTTCCTTCCCTTTCTTTTCCTTCACCTCCCATTTCTTCACACGACATTTGCCAAGGTCCCTGCCCTTCTGCTATATGTTTTTACCTACAGTAGAGTTGATCTGTCCAGCAAAGTTCTTCCTTGGCTTTGCAGGATTTATTAATTCCTCTAGAAAGCTGAAATCACTTTCACACTCTTTTCTATTTCTCAGTCTTTTTCTTATATTAAAAAATACATGATTAATTTTTCTTTCAAACATCTTTCAATAACTATTTCAAAATTATCATTAAAAAAACCTCTATCAGCACTTAAAAATATAAACATTCCCTTTGAACTGCCTTTCCATGCCAAAAGAGAATCAGAAACCAAACTGACATTCATTTATCTATAGAAACATTCTTATCTAGGCTTGCATTAACAGGAAGATAAAGTTATGCCTTTCTTTAAAGCTTTTAAAATGCATGGCAACAATTTTCTTGCTGTCAAAGAGGTAACTGTATATAAATATGGTTTATGTATATGTCTACATATATATTATAGATAATGCACAATATTATGGCTATACAGTATATATACACATATGAAAAAACCTTAGCACTTACCTTTGAGAAGTAACATTTATCCCAGGTTCAGTAAAATAATCTCAGACAGGCACTTAGATCTTCTTTCTATGCCATGCATCCTTTTTTTCAAAAGAAGATAAAATCTGAAAAATCCTAGTTGATCTCCAGCTAACCAAAATGCAGACTAGAATGTTTGGCAGATGCAGCCTGATTCAATGAAGTCCAAGTGCGTGAATCCCTGAGACTCCTTATTCAGTAATATCCAAAGCACAAAAAAGGGAAAGAAATAAAAAAGAAAAAGAAAAAGTGAATAACTTACTCATTTCTCTTTTGGTTTAAAAACCCCAGTCTTGGAAGACTAAGCAGCCTGCAGGCTTTTCAAGCATTCTGATCTTAGTGCATCCCAAGGTAACACATGCATTTTGGTATTACAAGTCTTCATATTAGCAAGCCTAGCTCCTGTGTATGTGCGTGTGTTGGGGAGGGGGGTTGAGGTGTATGGTGGTGGTAGGAGAAGAGAGATAGGGAGATGCACACACACACACACACACTCACGCAGAGATGGAAAAAGGAAAAACAGCAAACTGGAGTGATCTCACAAAGTGCTCTAGATGGCAGAGCCTGCACGGCTTGTAAGACAAGCAATGTGCACAAAAAAAAAAAAAAAAAAAAAAGGAGAGAGAGAGAGAAAAAAACCCAAGAGAACTATCAGGCAGCTTCAGGAATTTCTTCTTACCTCTTCTGACGATGCAACGTGCAGCAAGTGCTTAGTGTTGCACAGGAATCTGTGCAGGCACAACTCAGTCAGACCTCTAACTTCTGAAATAAACAAATATATAGTATAGGAAAAAATCAGAAACCGGAAGAAAGAAGGGTACAAAAAGAAGCTACTAAACAAGTAAGAGTGCCAAGGAGGAGGTTTGAGTGGGTGGGAGGAGAATAATTGATGCTGAAAGAGGCATCCAAACTGCCGGTCCTAATACAGATTGGCTCTGTAATTATGTGGCAAAGCACTGACTTCTAAGCCATTGCATAATAATAGAAACCTAAGCTGTGTAGACACAGCCTGACATGCTAAATCCTCAGGAGCTACACTCAACATTTGTCAGTGGAAAGCGTGTCAGTTCTCTGGGGGCGGAGGAAGCTGGGGAAAAAGGGAAGAGGAGAGAAATTGTACTGCAAAATGCACAAGCTGCAGCTGCAAAGAGCTCTCAGGTGGTACCAATGCCAGAAATATTATTATAGAACTCATCTATATCTATATATAGAAAGATAAATACAGTAACACTGTTAGTTTCATTCAAGCTATTCAGTACTAGAGGAAGAATTCTCCCTTGATATATTTTAGCAACTTAAATGCCAAAGAGAAGATATAGACATGTTCTGGGTTAAATATTTTTAATGCTGCTGCCTAGAAGTAACTCTCTCTTTGTACTAAATAATATTGGAAGGTCTATTTAAAACCTAAATTAAGATAAAGGAACCCAGGAGGTCTGATCAGCCTTTCCAGCCTGCAGACGGATTCCTGTCTCCACCTTTCTAAGCACACAAACACGTACATTTTCTTCTATTTCCCTTGGCTGAAGAGTCTCCTAGACAAAGCCAGGGAAAAGACGAGCACTAACTAAGTTAGAGGAGGCAAAAACCCAACTCTCAAATAACCACACACCAATAAATATATACCAATAGAGGGGCCAATTTATAATGCCTTTAGAAGGAAATGAAAAACAAGAAAGAAGTATAATTTTGCAATGGAAGTTTGCGTGTTGAGTTGCATTTGCATGTGGAATGGAAATTATGACCCTAGGTCACACCCAAGGTCCACTAAGCCAGTATCCTGTCTGTGGACAGCGACCAGCACTATACAGAGCCAAGAAATGTGGATGAACTTATGCAGAAAACTGCAAGGGCTAACCTGTTCACAGGGAAATCTGTTTCTTAATCCCTGTTCTTTAACGATTAGTTAATGCACTGAAGCATGAGCAGTATGACAGACTGCATCCCCACATCCAGATTGAACATGTATGGCCTGATTCTGAGGTCCTCTTCAGCTAGTGTAAAATACATCTCTTTTTAGAATGCTGAAGAGTTAAATCTTCTGATCCTTTGTAAACACTCCAGGGTGAGAAAACGCATGAGTTCAGAAAGAGATGCAGTATTTTAGTCTGGAGAGTAAGAAGAATATTTTTATAGCCAAGCCCTGGAATGGTTACTCTCCTCGTTTATTCCTTACTCCTGGTAGAAGCATACTAGGTGTATTCCAAGAAGCCATATGTAATTAGGACAACGAGGTTACTTAACAAATATATGACTAGCAAATTTGACCTCTAGAAGTCAAATAAAACTGTATGGAAGGCTTTGAAGATATTTTTGAGAACGACTGCATAGGATAACACACAGTCCTTTAGGAGAGGCTCGTGAAACAGATTTTGCTGAAAACTTCAGGTCCCTTATTGTTACCAATCCCTCTCCTTTGCTCTCTAGCTGCCAGCTCTGTGGGGAACTCTGCAGACCCCTAAGGTGAAGACTGCAGATGTGACAGGTAAGGAGCTACGCTGTGGTACAACAGAGAAGGAAACACTGGCCAGAGCAATCACTCGTCTATTTTGCAACATATCCAGCTTTTATTGATCTTGGAAGCAAGACTAAGAATTCCAATAGTACATAAACTTTTCAGGCACCAAAAAATAAATGACCTGTTTGAAAAAGAGTCGAAAAGCTGGTAACCCTGCTGAGCTTGGTAGTAAGAACTTTTTAAAATTATGTCATTTATTAGATGACTAAAATATGATCTTAGGAAGCTAACTTCATAACTCCAGGGAATCCTGGGCCAAGTATTTTGGCTAGGAAATCAAATCAAAGCTCTAATCATGTCAGTACCTTACAAAATAAACGTCAGTGCATCACAGAGAAGATATCTCTTAATGATATCAGGAATCCGTAATAGACTCTTGGGCTAGTATTTCAGAGTCTGATTTGAAAGCCAAGTATCACTTGCAAAAGCAGAAATCAATGAACTCCATGAACGCACTCCAAAAATCTTCCCGTCAGCTACAGTTCTGTGTTGATTCCCAAAGGAAAACACAAACATGATACAAACGTGGCAAAAAAATCTCTCAGAAACAACTCTCATGAGGCTGTGGTGTGGTGGGTTCTCACCACACTCCGACAGTGTGGTCTCCTAATACCCTTTGGACTTCAGTTAGAGCCTTCTGAGGTTCCCACATTAGCTTCTTCTCTCCACTGACTATCCCCAATATATATTGCTTCTTTTCCAAATCAGAAGCTTCTCAGTGAATTCAGTTTCTTTCTTCCTTGGTCGTTCTTCCGGGATAAGAGAAACCACTTCCATTCTTCTCCTTCACTCAGGCTTTCCCCCTCTCTAATCCTGTGCGAGTTCACCACAGTCATTCGACACGATTGTTTTAGCCATCTTGGTAATGTTACATCTGCTGTCATTTCCAATTACAGGGAAATTCCATCACCCCTTGAAGAACCACAGGAGAAGTCTTGCTTTATCTAAGTAGCGATCGTCTTACTGTCCCACAGTTCTGGTCTCTGAAAAGAGACAGTAAGCCTGTTACTATTTGAGTTCTAGAAAATATATGAGAGACTATGACAACAAATGACTAACTTCATGCTCACTGACCCTTTAAAACTGCTGCGCTGTTGAGTAGCTGCACCTTTCAATGATGCAGGACTTCCAGCACTCCAAAAGAGTGCACAATTTGTATACAAAGTGATATGGTAAAGCCTTACAGTCATACTCCTGAAAGTTCCCTTATACAATAGTAACAACCCAAAGAATTAGCTTAACACAGAACTTCTGTAGTGGAGATGATCTTTAACCTACAATGCCAGGTACAGTAGCCACATCCAAAAAAGGTTTAAACTATGATAGTAGAGCAAGACAAAAAAACTGAGATGCTTTTTGCAACCTCAAGAATAACTTTACCTCCTACCAGCGTCATTCTCCTTTTCAAGTCTGACAGATAAAGCGCTAAAGTCTTTGACCATCTGATTGACAATACAATTTAACATGTACATCTAGACACCAGCAATTTCCACTTCCTGCCCACTGCCTTCCAAAGTAAAGGAGTCAACATCGGATTAAAAAAATATTTGGTCTGCGGCCCTACTGACAAAAACAGTTATTAGGAGCTGAACCCATTAGCTTTCAAACGCTGGAGCTGCTAGGAGAAATCGTATATTTCTTGGGTGCCTTTCAGCTCAGCTCTTTCCAAATCACTAAATGACTGTTTACACATATATAGGAAGAAAATCATTTCCTTCTCACATCCCCCACCCACACATCCCTCTATTTTTTTTAAAGTAGTTCCAGCCAACAGACAAATTGAACATGCTTTCTTTCTGTTTCCTGCATCTTATCATGGGGAAATCCTATTCTCAAATTTTTTGCCCCAGAGATCCAACAGAGAGAAGATATTTTTTTCACAGTACAGTGGAGGAAAACAGATTCTTGATACTAGTGGTGAGACAAAGACAGCGCAGAAGCTCCCTTTTCCAATGAACTGTTGTAAAAATATGTCGTTATCTAGAAGCACAGATCAATATCCTATAGGAAATGTGAAGGTGAACTTCTTTAAAATACCTCAGCTCTACAACAATCTTTCCTTGTCCATCCTGCATCTGAATGCAGAGCATGTTTTGAACACAATGAAATAGTTTTTTCGAATTAAGGAATCAATTACATATATTAGAATATACACATTAGAATGGTGATCTACACCATTCTAAGTATTCGTCTCAGTTGGATTATCCAAGATAGTTATGCTGAGCTTAAGAGGATCCAAAATAACTTTGCAGGTGCTCTGAAAGAAGGATAATATACTATTTTTGTCTGGGGGTTATTATTCTTTCCGGGTTCTCTCTTTACAAGCAGGGGGATCCATTTTACGTAATCACATGTCCAGCTCAGTGAGTGAAATTTAATATCTTTTGATTGATAGGTTAAGGCCAGAAGGAAGCATTAGGGCCATCTCGTTTGGCCTTCTGCATAACCTCAGTTACAAAATTCCTCTCAGTGGTTCCTGCATCCGTCTTCATACCATGGGCTAATACAGAAAATATCTTTTATAAAGACAGTCTCTTGATTTAAAGATTTCACGTGATGGAAACTCTTTGTAAGTTGGTCTAATCTTTAATTGTTCTCCTTGTAAAAAAAAAAAAGTCTGTACTATATTTTGTTAGTCAGAAGGTTCTGGTTTGTTATCAAAAGCCTAGAGTGGTAATTATGACCTATAGCTAGGTATCTCTTGATCAGAAAGCACAAAATGAAGAACAGCAGAAGTTTCTCCCAGATAAGTGAATTTCTTGCACTGGTGGCTAACGAGTGCTATTTGAGATCCATGCAATCTATTTATTTTAAAGACAAACAAACAATGTTGTTTAATGGCCATCTGTTTCAGCACAATGTTAATCAGAATAAAAAGGCTGTCTTGGTAATCCTTCCTCAATTCTTATAACTTGATAGAAGATACAGCATTAGCTTCCACAATATGTCTGGAAGCAGCCATACTGGGCTGCCAGCTGACCAGGAAATGGGACCTCACCCTGGGGGGTTTGCAACCTCTGGCTGTGATCCTTTCTGTGCACAGGAAGCTCTCAGTCACCACTGAAATCCAGGGGGTGGCAGATGTTCCGTGTGCAGCCAGTGCAATAAAGACATGACACAAAGCATTGCTGATAAAAGTCTCAATTTTAAATTCTGATCCTTGCCGCATAGGATAAGGTCACTATCGAAAAAGATTATATGGGCTTGTCATGCAGCAGGGGGTCCCTTATTCGTACAGGCTGCTGTTAGCCTGTAATCCTCTGTTGCAACTCTGTTGGCAACAAGAGCAGCGTAAAGGAGATCTGGCTCTCCATTGCCCCGGCCAGGGCTTGTTGCAGTGGCTCCTGTCCTATTCCTGCACTGGTCTACAACCCCACATTTGTGTCAGCTGAACCATTTGTGAGGATGCACTAAAATAGGTCTGTGAAATGATACAAGTCTCGGTTTGCTTTCTAATTGTCGCTTAAAAAACATTTGGAAGGGAGAGAAAATTGTGTTTGCCTCCTCTAAGGAGACGGTAATGTTGGGAGATTGGGGACAGATGCTCCTTAGACAGGATTTGTCAGCCAGGGATAATGTGGTGAAACCAGTTTACATTAATCGGGACACAAGAGGGGAACTTTAGCATATAACAGGCAAGAGCCCATATCTAGGCCGAGGTTGTCTGTTTAAGCTGTTTATAATCCATTTCGTTTTCTATCTCTTAGGCACTGGCCCAACGCTTTCAAGCTTGTGTGTCTCAGACTTGGAAAGGAATGGTTACGATTTTGTAAATAAACAAATAAAAGTACTCTGAGAAATGAGAGAATCATTTGGCCAGACCCTTGTGCATATCAAAACTACAGCCATCACCATAAACAAAGTCAGTATTTGCTAATAGTTGCCACATTATAGTGTGAAGGTGGCAAACTGGAATGAATCCATCAATAATCTGCAATGTAAATTGTGGGAAGAAAAGACCATTTTCCCCAGTCACAAAGCACTTAGAAGGCTTCTGTGGTCTAAACTATCTGCAAGTTATTAGGTTTGCCAAGGAAGGGGGCAGGCACTTCATAGGAAGAAGCCCAGACCTCTGAAAGAATCAGATTGTATCACCGGACTGGAGCGTGCAGGGCAAAAGAAGCAACACGAGGTGGTGTTTTTCTTAGAGAAGAAGCGTTGTTGGTATTTTTAAAAAAAATATTATAGGACTCCAACAAATTATTTTGGGTGGAGAAGAAGAAAAGCAGCAACAAACTATGCCGCAAACCCAGAAACTAGGCAGCATGAATTTTGGATCTCGCTTAGAATTTGAGGGATATAAGGAAGTTCGATGCAGAAAGGAATAGGAAAGGGAAAGTGTGTGCTCACACACATGAGAAGACAGTGTGTGACTTCTGCCTTCTAAGTGGAGCCCCAGGTGGGGCTGGAAAAGGACCCCTTCCTGCTCCCACTTTCCAAGACTTGGGCCAACAAACTGGGTGCATGAGGGAAGGAAAGTTGAACTATTTCTTCCCGGCTCTCAGCTGTGTCCTCAGGAGCCACTGCAGGGTGTGTAATGAGTAAGGACATTCATGCTTCAGGTAGACACGTCCAAAGAAAGGAGGAGGAGAAAGTTTAGAGATGCTATGCATAGCAGCACTGTTAGGATAAGAACCGCTTTGGGTTCCTTTCAGCCTCTATTCCTGCTTAGTTCCACCGGGGAGAAGGAGGAAGGAGAAAATGAGCCAATATCTTCTTACTTCTTACAAGAGGAGTTAAAGAGATAATGGTAGCTGTCTTAGGGTCTTGCGTTTAGTGATGTTTCTAAGTCAAAGTACCTACATTTAAGCTGTGATTAGAGACGCTGCAAAAACCTCTTGTCTGCAAGGAGCAACGGGAACACAAAGTAATTTAGGAAGCCATTGTTAATCTCAAGCATAGTATGAAGATAAAGTAGAGTTTTAAGAATGACTACAATTTGAGACGTTTTGATATGCTTTTCTGCCATATGCGCTTTCAGCTTCCTAAGGGAAGTGGGAGCTCTGATTCTCCAGTGGGACCCAGGGTGTCCAAGTCATCTCAGCATGCTGTATCTCTGCTGCTCTTCTGCTCATAGGCCCCAGAGAAGACTTTTAGAGCCAGAGCATGCAAGTAATAAAGATAAATGGAGGAAAACTTATTTTCACCTGTATACTAGAGTATCTATTGCAAAGCATATGTAATCCATCTCTTAGTATTATACTATTCAATATAAGGACTTTGGAAATTCAATTTTTAAAGTAAGTTTGTTCTAAAAAGGCTAGACAATCTTCCCCACCCTCCTCAATCTCTCATGTTTACACTTGACAACACGTGGAAGACAGTCTGTACTCCTTAGAGCACCAGAATGAATAAGGCTGATTGCATTCCTACATTTCCTTATAAAACGTTAAATATTCATAGATGTGTCAAATTAAATGAGTTTCTTGTGCTGTCATTCTTTTCAGCTCACTAGGTCCTTCTTAAATGGTACCTGTCCTGCTACTATGTAAGCTGTCTCTGGAGACTCCACATTTATCTAAGATTGTTCATAGCAGGCTCATTTTCAGATCAGGCTAAAGGAATAAACATTTTTTAAAAGCACTTGATTGCTGGTCAACTGCTGTGTCTTCATCACTTTTGTATTACAGGAGGGAAAAAAATCTTGGTGGTTACAACCTCGGAAGTTGTTGCACTACAGAGGGAAGGACACCCTCTATGTGAAGCAACAGAGCCAGTAAAAACTATCTAGAGGTTGAAAGCAAATGCTTTTGAAAGAGCTACAAATAGTCCTAAGAAACCAGGCACACTGATGTACAAACTAGAGCCAGCAATTCATGCTTCCTTTCTGACAACTGCCCCTTTAGCTATACGTGGAATTCAACATGAGGCCACCCGAACTAAAGCTTAAAATATTTATACGTTTCTCCCATATCTGAGAAAAAACTCACTGACTCTCTAACCAGACATAGAATAGGGTATTTAGAATATATAGCTCGATGAA